TCATTATAATCAGGAACCCCCGAAATAGTATTGGTACTTGTTTAATTAATTCAGGCCCCCATATATTAGGTGCAATTCCTGCAAGCCACAAGACCGAAAATGCCATTCCTTGAACCCTGTAGCAGCACTATCGCCGCCGCCTCAGCGGCTGCGCCGCAGTTGATCTTGCTTGATGGCATCCTTGCTATCGCTGAGGAGCTTTTCAATGCAACGGGGGCTCATAACTTTAACCCTAAACCGCCTAAACCCCCTAAACTAACCCAGCTTCCAGCCCCAAAACTGACGCACAAACCGCAGAGCCCAAATATCTGAAATTGAGGGCTTTGGGGGTGCCTTGGAGCAGATGTCAGAGTTGGGGGCGCGGTGGACGGTGGGGCTTCGAACCCTTGTTAGGCGTGTCGGTTCAACCTGAAATACGGGGCAGGGCATTGGGCCTTGAATCTCGCTGAGGGCTGAGGGTATCGGATGGGGTTGTTCAGTTGCAGCAGCTCGTCAAGTTTGTGGGGCGTAACTGTGAAACCAAAAGGCCGAAAGACTTGTTTATAGGTTGCTGCGACTTGAAACTCCAGTTTTTGAATCCGTTAAAAAGGTAGAGCTGTTGGGTTACACTTGCAGACAGGGGTTTAAGGTCTCAGGGCTTTGAGGCTTTAGGCAGTAATTCCATCACGGCTGGTACTTGAACCGCAACTCCAGACAATCCGCAACTCCAAACAATCCCGAGCTAGCAAACGCCGGACCACATTTATTCAGGTGGCCTGACACAACTTGAGTAACGCTGCAGGCGTTTCCTGATATGATAGCGTAGGGAGTTTACGAATGTTGACTTCTCAGGACCATAAGACCTGAATTTCTACCGAACTGAAAAGTTATATAAGCCCTAAGTCACAAGGCCTGAATCCTTACCCTAGGCCCTGCATCCTAAAACCTCAACTTTAGGAATGCAACGCCGGACGTTCTCTTACCCAGGGCCCAAATTGATATCGAATTTTTCCTGACTACACTGAACCATGCAGCGAGTTTACAAACTCAAAACGTCTTTAACACTACACCCGTTCAACCTAACTAAAGCCCCTGATTTATTTTTTGTCAGAGCTGATGGTGTTGTCCCAAGGTCCACACCATGGCGAAGAAAAGGTCGTCGGTGAGCACCGTGTCCTCATTAAGGATATCAGACTTAGGGTTTGTAAAGAATGTCGTAGATAGCAGTAGCAGGAGTAGCAGCAGCAGTCGTCGCCGCCGTCGTCGTCGTAGTGATCATCGGTCTTACAAGTGTTGCATCATCATAGCCATCATAGCCACCACCATCATCACCATCATCATCATCATCATCATCATCATCATCGTCAACAACATTCTTTCTGTGGTCACCATTTTCGCATAAATGTCACATCGAGCGCTCTGCCGACAGCACAAGCATCATGACGGGCAACGTGGCATGTAATGAGGGGCCTTGATAATTAGAGTAGGGTTTTGGGGGGCTCC